TAGAATTATGTTTCAAAAGACCACATGTAACACTTTTAAACTATTTTAAAAAGAAACTAGTGTCTTAATTTCCTTCTATATTCTTAACAAACTGTCCCAATGTGACAATCTTTTTAATGGTAATGATTTATTTTGTGAGTATAAATTAATAAGTAATATGTGATCACTAAAAAAGCCCATGATGATTCAGAAAGGTATAATGATAAGAAAGTATCCACAAAATTCCATTACCTGGGGAAAAGAACATCTAACGTCTCTTTATATATCCTTGTTTGAGGCTGTAATGTGTGCCAGGTATTGTTTTGGATATTAGGATACAGTGGTGTGCACTGCCTCATCAAGCTTGTATTCCATTGGAGCAAAGGATATATTAAAATATAACAAATTGTTTTAACCAAAAGATATCATACTGTGTTTTAAAAAATGTGTTAGTATATTGTGGACAACTTTCAAGTCAATGAATATAAATATACACAATATTTTTAGAAGACGGTGAGGCTATACTATATTTAAACCACCTCCTATATGGACATTGTTCTGATTGTCTCTGATGAATATCATGTTACCCCCAAACGTAGCAGGTTAAAACCATTTTCTTATGCTCATGGATTCTGTTAGAAATTTGGTCAGGACACAGCAGGGATAGCTTGTCTCTGTTTTGAATGTCTGGTACCTCAGCTGGGAGAACTTGAGAGTGGGGTGGGGGTGGAGCAGGCCGTTCACTTGCCTGTTTGGTGCCTGGGGATTTAGAACTGCTGACTGCAGCACCTCTTCAGGAGGCTTGGCTTCCTCACAGCACGTAGTATAGATGGGCTTCTTGTATTACAGCTTGGGTCACCAAGTGTTTATTGCAGTGAGTAAGGCAGAAATGGAATCACCTTTTATATCCCAGCCTTAGGTTAGTGTCATTTCTGCTGTACTGTTTTGGCTGAAGCAGTCACAAGCCTTCCCAGATTCAAGGGAAATGGAAAATAGACTTCCTATTTGAAGGAAGGAGTGCCAGAAAATTTTGGGGTTATGTTTAAAAATAGCTACAGACATGTATGTGTTTTTTT